GATGTCTGTGTGTGTGCATGTGATGTGGAGGCCAGGGGTCTGAAGGCCAGAGGTCTGAGCCAAGAATCTTGTTCCATTGCTCATCATCATCGTATTATTATTATTATTATTATTGTTTTGAAATAGTGTTTCACTAGACCCCATAGCTTGCCAATTGGCTATATTGGCTAGCCAGTAAGTCCCTGGGATCCTCCTGTCTCTCCACCTCCCCAAAGCTGAGGTCCCAGATGTGCTCTGTGGTGCTCAGCTTTTTAGGTGCCTGCTGGAAGACAGGCTCATGCACGAGCACTTGCCGAGGCAGCTCCCCAGCTTCATTTACATATTTTCTATAGTGACTTTTGTCCTATGAGGGCATATTTAAGTAGATCAAATTGGCCTGCAGATCGAAAATGCCTGATATCTCTCCCATGTAAACAATCAAACCAGCCTTGCCGACCCCTGATGCAGAAGCGATTCATTTAAGAGCCTGTTCTTCTCCATAGAGCCTTCAGTTTGCTCATGGTGGTCGCAGTGTGCACGGGAGGGGTGGAGGGGTCCATGGGGGTCAGTTGAGGGGTTCATGAGGTCAAGCGTGTTAGTAGTTGATTGCGAATGAGGTCTTACCAGTGGTGCAGTGGGCTTTGTTCTGATGCTGGAGAAATGCTGTTCTCACCTCAGCAAGTTAGTCCTGTGTTGTTGCTGAGTCTATTTAGCCAGTAGTGTATAAAGAAGAAGGGCTGACGCGGTGACAGAGTTCTGATGACTCTTGTCCACGATTGATTGTCTCCTTGTGCTTGGGCCTATGGCAGAGCAGCACATGGCGGGAGGGCACCGTAGACTCAAATTGCTTACCTTGTGATGAGAAAGCAAGGAAGAGAGTGAGGGGCTGGACCTACAGTCCACTTCAAGATCCTGCGTTTAGGGGCCTCTCGCTAGGGCCCACAGCAACTCCCAGTCGTGGAGCTACGTGGAGAGCATCTAGACGCAAGTTTCTGGCTGTCGCCGTCCCGCCTAATAGATTTCTGTGTAGTGTGGATCAGCTGGGAAGACATCCTTGCACCCCGTGTCAGGGGCAGCCCCCATTACATCCTCACCTGGGAGAGATGCTTTCACTGGCTAAAAAAATATCTATGTTGGCTTCTGCTATGGTGCTTAAAACACCTCTGGACTGTCCTCAGGCACGACCCTCCCACAGCACCATTTGAGCAATCTGGCTTTCTTGTTACTGTGTGTCTGCTGTTTGGGTTTTTTTCGTTATCGTCAGCCTGACACAAGCCAGGGTTGTCTGGGAGGAGGGAGCCACAAACTGACAGTTTGGCATGTTCTTGATTGCTGACTGATGTGGGAGGGCCCAGCCCACTGTGGGGAGTGACATCCCCTTGGCAAGTGGTCTCTGCTTGTGCAAGAAAGCAGGCTGAATGAGCTGTGGGGAGCAAGGCCACTTCACTTTCTGTCCCCAGCTTCCTATCCTGCTTGAGTTTCTGTCCTGACTTCCCTTAGTGATGGACTGTGATTGGGATGTATGAGCCAAATAAACCCTTTCTTTCCAAGTCACTTTTGGTCATGATGTTTTATCATAGCAAGAGAAATTCTTCCTAAGACAGTGTCTCTTCCTGGGAGTCTAGGATGGCTACTGCAAACCAGAAAAATCATTCCACCCATGTCTGGCTTTGTGAACCTATGAGTTTGTTGGGGTTACTGCTAGGAACATGGACAGCTTATGGGTAGTTCTACCACTGGGTTTCCTCCTTTTGGCCATCATTTACGGCTGTGTATTCTCAGGAAAGCCCTCCCCTTCACTTTGCAGGGAATGTTGAAAGGCCAAGCGAGTCCCATGAAGGTTCAGTACTGGTGATGCAAGTTGCTCTGGTCTAAGATGGCAGTAGTCACGTCCAACCTGGAGGACAGCTGCCTAGCACTGGCTTTTGTTGTTCTGTGTCAAATGGCTTTTCCTTGGCTTGTTTGATAAGTTTCTTACTGCTGGTTTTAAGCAGTTGGGTTGTGATGTGCTTAATGATAATTGTCTTCGTGTTTCTTAGGCTTAGGGCTTGTTTAGGTTTTTACGTCTGTGGGTTCATGGCTTTTAGTCACTTTGGACACTTGTAGCCATAATTTCTTGCAGCATTTTCTCTAGCTCACCCCTGAGCCCCTTCAGACACTCCAGTTAACGAATGTTCTGCTCCCAGCTCTCTCTCTCTGCAGCTTTGTTCATTTTATAAAGTCTGTTTTTTGTTTGTTTTATTTGTCATCTCTTGTGTTTTATTTTGATTAGTTTCTACTGCTGTGCCTTCAGGTGTACTAGTCTCTCAGTGTGTCTCTAACCTATTATAAATATCTAGGGAAATGGACATATTAGAGAGAACAGCATAGCTCTAAATTTTTTAGTTGACTTACAGACTTACAGAGAATAGCGAGGTTGCTTTGTTTTTTGTTTTGTTTTGTATTTTTAGAATAAAACTCCTTTTGCCTCTGCCTGAGACTAGATGGTTCTTTGTGCTCGCATAGCTAAGCAAATACTCCTATAATCCACATTGTCTCTCTGGTCTTGCATCTACTGGGTATGCCTGGCTTCTCTTTCCCCTCATGTACTCTTAGTTGTTCTTTCAGAAGAGACCTGGGTTCCACATGATTTCTTCTCTGCTTTTTGCTGACATCCTACTCTAAACCAGCATCATTTCTGCCCTCCTCAGGGACTTACCTGCTCCTTGGTCTCTTTGTTCTGTCTTGATCTGTAATCCCCAGTGTCCCAGCACTCTTAAAACAGCCCTAAAATCACATCCTTCCTTCCCTTGCTGGTTGGACTTCTAATGAGCCACAGGTGCCTCCCTGACCTTTAAGGTTTTGGTCTTTGCCTCCCCACCTCTCTGTCATGACCTGGGCTATTTTTTTCTCCTTTTATTGCTTTGTTATTTTTTTTAAAAAACTGACGACAACTCAGAAAAAAAAAAAATACATTTTTTCCTTGCAGCCCAATGCAAGAGAGAATATACAGTCATCTTTGGGGTTGATTTCCAGGACCTAAATTAGCAAGCCCGTTACGGGCAATGGCCTGGGCCCTGTGTATGTCCTCTTCTGAGGTGTAACACCACCTCCAGATTCCTTGGACTACCAGCACAGTATAAATGCTGTGAAGCCAGGACACTGTGTTGTCTCAAGAATGACAATGAGGAAGCCCATGTTTATATTCAGTCCCCCAACCCCACCTCCCTCCTAGATGGGTGTCTACTGCTGTGACAAAACAGTATCAAAAGCAACTTGGGAAAGACAGGGTTTCCTTCGTCCCACAGCTTGAAGTCTGTCATCCCAGGAAGTGAGGGCAGAACTGAAGCTGAGGCCATGGAGGGATGATGCTTACTGGCCTCCTCTTCACGGCTTGCTCAGCCTCCATTTTACCAGCCAGCATGGAAGCACCCCCAGTGAGCCGGGCTCACCTACATCCTCAGTTACTCATGAAACACCACAGACTTGCCTGCAGGCAAATCTTTTGGTGGAGGTTCCCTCTCCCCAGATGACTCTAGCTTATGTCAGCTTGACATAAAAGCAGCCAGCACTTTCCCCTAGAATATTTTTTGCCCATGGTTGGTTGAATGTCTGGATTCAGACCCCTTTTCCCTCCCCACACCCGTGTGTGCGCACACACACACACACACACACACACACACACAGACAGGGTCACTACCTGTGTTCCGTGGATTCTGAGGTAACCCCCATCAGGATGCACCCTAGAGTTATGCCAGGCTTCGATTGACTGCACTTTTCCTGATTGTTACATATAGCAGTGACAGCTGATGCCTGTGAAACTGGAGGGATGGATCTAAATCAAAGCTTCTGAAGCCAGCATTCGCCTTCATCATCCAAGGAACATTGTCTTCTGTGAAGGCCTTTCTCTTTGATGGAATGCGACAGACAGACAGAATCCCTCTTTGACATGCTTGCTACTGGGCCACAGTCTAAAGAACCCTATTCTGCCCACTCAGCACTTTTTTGTGTCAAGCCCTTTCTTACCTCAGGGTCTTTGCCACTGTCTTCATCAGAATGAAGGCACAGGCCACGTGTGCATGTACCCTGTCTTAGTGCTGATAGGGATAGTGTCAATCAGCTCTTTGTTATGACAAATTACCCAAGTTATCCAGCCTGAGGAAAAAAAGTTAATGGCATTCATGGTACCTGAGATTGTAGCTTGTGATCACTCAGGTGTGTTATAGCTTAGTGTTAGCATGGTGGGGCATGTGGTGGAGGGGACCTGTTTATTTCATGCAAGCAGGGAAGCAGAGAGAGACAGAGAGACAGACAGACAGAAAGTGAGAAATTGTGGGTTGCCACCTCCCATTAGTGCCAACAAACACGTTTTTAACACTAGAGCCTCTGGAGGACATTTAAGATCCAAACTATAACAGAATTACTGCTGTTTCAGGGTAGCTTTGCCTCAGAGAATATCTGGCTATTCACTTCCAGGTCAGTGTAAGGTTTTGTGAATTGTTACTTCTAGGCCAGTGTGAAGTTTTATTAATCTTAGCAGCTTTAATTCTTAAAGTCTCTGCTCTTTCTCCTGACCTCATTGTCTCTCTCTCTGTGTTTGTGTGTGTGTGTGTGTGTGTGTGTGTGTGTGTGTGTGTGTATGTGTGTCTGTCTATCATCTGTCTACTAGGCCGGGAAGGGGTCAGTTGGAGGGAAGAGGGGGGTTTACCAGCAAAGAGGAGTAAGAACACCTTCCCTCTTTCCCCTCCTTCCCCCACTTCTCCCCGGGGATTAATATGAACATGAAATTATGTCTGGTGTTCGTGATGCGGTCTGAGCAGCTATGCTCAGCGCAGCATGCCCATGCCGTCGTGTGTCCCTGTTATTGATTGCTGATGCTGGGGCTGAGCTGATAGATTAGTTCTCTGCGCAGCGGATACTGGGCCTTCCACAACAGTGCACCCGGCTTTTCGAGCAAATTGCTGCTCTCTGTGTTCGACCCATAGCATATAGAATTGCATTCTACCCTATGAAAAATTCATAATGCACTTCTTACCTTCTAGGCACATAGAGATGAAATCCAGCGCAAATTTGATGCCCTTCGCAACAGCTGTACTGTGAGTATAAATGAGTTGAGCAGACTAAAGCAGGGGCAGTGAAGGGGGACACTCTCTGTAGTTTCATAGTGCTGGTGGCCAATTTTTCATACACTCTTGCAGCTTGAAGCCTGTAATACTTTGTTTTGTTTTAGTTTTTCAGGGTGCTGCCATTCTTTAGCTTTGGGAGGGGCAGATAGTTGGAATGGTTTAAATAGTCAAATAATTCTCAGTAGCGGGGTGGTGGTGGTGGTGGTGTGCACAGACCTGTAAAGGTAGCTGAGGCAGGAGAATAGTGACATCAAGACTAGTCTGGGCTACAGAGTGAAAACTTATCTTAAAATAGAAAGCCAAAAACATTTTATTTTCCCCCTCACCGTGAGACTGTAAGTAGATCCAGTAGCTTCAACAAAGCTCTCAAGGCAGCTTACCCCCTTCTTCAATGCCCAGGAAGGTCCATGGCCCACCCAGGCAAGAAACCGTCCAAATGCCAGGGACTGGCTTTCTACGTGGCTTCTCCATCCTGTGGCCTCTGCCATGAAGTAGAGCCAATTAGTTCTCCTGGGGACCAAGAAAGTTTATCTTCCTAACAGAGAAAACTCTACCCATTTAGTATGTAAATTCACAGCTTAGGACCCTCACTGGTGACATCACTTTTGTGCTCAGAGTTCCATCAGCAGACAAGCATCGCTCATGGGTTACATAATCTCGTCAAATCAGTGGAAAAGCAAGATCTATTTTTGATCAAAATGAAGGATGGAAATAGGCCCCTTTTAGGAGATGAGGACGGCATCCTTCTCTGTGCTTCTGTGTCTTTGGTCTTTTTGTGGACTGTTTACTTTCTCAGTCCTCGTTGATACTGTCCCAGCTTGTACTATTTACGTCTGTGTATTTAGAAACACCCCCCCCCCACCCCCGTGTGTGTACTGCTGTCCTTTTTAATTCACAGGGACCCTGATAACTGGGTGTTCAGTCTTGGGCATACTCTGTCAAAGGTTTGAATCTTAGCTACCTGAGTAGCCACAGTGTAGATGCAGCTGCAGGGAGTCTCAACGGGCTCCCACTGTCTCCCGGTGAGAACCCTTTGCCCCAAAGGGTTCCTGCCATTCTGGTGCCAGAGCTGAGTTGTCTAACCTTGAATTTCATGTAAGTGGGACTGAAGAGAATATGTTCTTTGGGGCTGAGTTTTTCCCCTCTTGCTTTGAATTGTCTGTGGAGGTCTTTCATGTGGACCTGGCAACACTTTGCTTTTTTTCCTTTTCCTTAGTGTTTTCAGTGTGAGGGTAGGACCACAGTTTGGTCCATTCTCCCCCTGATGGACATTTGGATCCTTTCCATATGAAGCTGTTAGGGAAGGTCCCCTGATGGCTGCAAGCGTGGATCAGATGACTAGGGATGGAACTCCTAGGCCATGAGATGCATTTGTGCTTGTCAGGCAGTTTTGGTCAGTTCATCTGGATGCAGTGGGGGAACAGGCCTGCCTCTGATGCTGGTCAGCTCCGCCTGCTCCCCCTTCCTTGCAGAACTGGTGGATTCGGATCCTGTTCTCATCCATCTAGTAGTTTTAGTTTCTTATTACAGCACCAGTGATTTGCTTATACCACATACATGCTTTTGAATGACTACAGAGTGACACAGACCCTCGTATGACTTCCGTCCATATGAGTTCTCTCGTTCCTTTCTTATTCAAGCATTTTGAAACAGGATCTCACCATGTAGCTCAGGCTGACCTTGAACTTGCTATCCTCCTGCCCCAGCCTTTCAAGTACTGCAGTTTCAGTCAAAGGCCACCATTCTGTTCCTGGGATTCTTTCCAGTGGACTTAAATATCTCTTAGAACAAGGAACCTGCAAAGGGAAAGGTTGCTAGATCTAACAGATGAAAATATAACTATCTTTTTTTATTCAGAAATATGAAGCCTATTAAACAGCATACTTTCCTTTCCATAGTGATCATAAGCTCTTATAAATTGATACCGATCAATTGTCTAATCAATAGCAAAAGACATTAACTGTGACTCCTTTATGTGACTAAGTCTTCCTTAAACTTAAGATACTTTTTAAATATATCAATCAGTTATTTTGATTTGTTCCATTTGCCTAAAGACCTTTTTACTTCCTTTAGCGTACTCTCGTAAGGAATTGAAAATAGGTCGTTTTTGTGTCTGATTGAGGTGTAATGATAGGGGATAGACTTGAGGGCTTTCAGAATGTGTATACATACGGGAAACCAACATGCTCGGGATAAGAAGCACACAGTACCCTTAAAAGTTTGCCTGCTTTCCTGGGGAGCCTGGTCGCCATCTGTAAAAGTCTGGCCGTAAGGGAGGCTGTGGCTATGTGGAATTAATTTGATATCTGGCTTAACTTACATAATGCTTATCGTTTCTAAATTTGATTTCTCTGAGACAGTGACTTATCATATTTGTTTCCTTTACCACTGATATGTGGTGACAAGGCCTTTGGGACACTTTTCAAAGGTGGTAGTATGGGGGACCTGACAAAGTGTCCTCCACTGCCCGTGTCAGCTGGAACAGCTGCGGGACGCAGCGGCTGAAGCCATGGCGTCTGGGATCAGGTGGACAGGGGCCATAGCATAAGGTGGCCTCTAGCGGCCTACCCGCTGCATCCTCCCAAGCTCCTATGTAGCCTCTCCTCCACCATGATGTTGATTATCCCAGCTCACAGTTAGTGACTGTGATGTGGGTGCCAGAAGAGGGACGATGGGGACCTGCCCGATTCCGACAAGGACTAGAGTTCCAGAAGCAGCAGGACATCAGTAGCAGGGACCCTGGAGCTGACACCGCCTCCTACCGCAGTTAGATGAGACAGGCCGTGCAGCGTGCGTTCAAAGGCTTGGCCCCCAGAAAAGACTAAGTGACATTGGCTTCCTGTTACCTTGGCCGCCTAGCATAAGCTTTGGTTTGGAAAAAATGGCCTCTCTACTTTTAAAAGCCTGGGAACTACTGCCCCAAGGCATTTAGCCACAATAGAGGGTCTCAGTGACACAGCCCAGCTCAAGCCTATTTTAAAGCTTAGAGGGAGGGAGCTTGTCCTGGGTTTTCCTTCTCCTTTCCTGCTGTCCAGGATTGCTTCTGCTAGGAAGTATCGCCTCTGTTACTGCTAAGGACTCCATAATGACTCAGTGGAGGAGTGCCCAGTTAGCGATTCCAGCAGAGGGGGGCAGGAGGCCTCCAGACTCAGACCATTTCTGTGTTTTGAAGGGATTTTAAAAAAAGGATTTGATTCAATCTGGCACCTAAACCCCTCCCTAAGTCTGTTTTAGAGGGGAGTTGGTGGGCAAGCATATGACACAGCTTTAATTATGAATCAATCTGTCAGCTATAAGATTAAAAATAAATAATATGCAAATAGCTGCCTTCGGGAAAGTAGGCATTAAAATAGGATTTCGGTCCTGAGTCTTTCCTGCTGATGCTTATTGTTTGATTGGCTCCTTCCACCCTGACATGCCATCGGCTCTCTTCCTTCGCCTGCTCTTGCTCTTTGTCTCCTGGTTGGGTGTGAGGGGTCAACGGTGCAGTTCTATGATGGTGAGGTTCTCAGGGTGGCCTTGGGAAGTGACAGATAACCAAATAATAATCAAATAGGGAACTCAGGTCTTTTTTCTTTTCTCTCTTCCTTTTTTTTTTTTTTTTTGACGCTGAAGAGTAGACAGTTTTATATTCTTGTTCTCTCTTAGAATCGCACCAAGGTCTGTTGTCTGCAAAACATCCTACAAAACCCAGCTGGCCCCCATTGGGAAGGCTGTACCCCTTACCCTCCCCACCGCCCTGGTTTTTTTTTTTTGTTTGTTTGTTTTTTTTTTTTGTTTTTTAACTGAGAAGGTAGAACTAGGCTTTCCATTTATCTTTTTTTTTTTTTTTTTTAACCCTCTGTTCTTAGGGCCTAAAAGTTAATGGACTCTCATAACTGAGTCTGTCACTAAACAGACTATCTGTGGGAAGAATTTAGCAAAGATAACCGAAGAATGTTTTGCATATTACCTGGTTCAGAAGCAAGAAGTGCACCAGGTGTCCTGGCATACATCGTGATCCCAGCCCTGAAGAGGCCAAAGCAGGAAGCTGTTGAGTTTGAGGCCAGTCTAGACTATGTGTATGCCTCAGAGAAACAGAAGCAGAAGGTCTAAGTCGTCAGAAAGTCCCTGTCATCTGTTCCAGATGTTTCAGCATCATGTAGTTAGGGGTACCAAGAACAAAGTCTCGGGTTTCAGGGCTGGGCTCAAGTTTTGACTTTTTTTTTTTAATTTTATTTTAAATCAAGTAGCCCTTAGCCTCTTGGTTGCCTCAATTTCCCCATCTATAAAATGGTACACTCACCCCAAAGATGTGTTGAAGGGATTGCTTTTTTTACTTTCATTGGGTTCCAGTGTCTCATGTTGGCTGAGTGTCTGTAGCTGCAATAAAGTGGGCCAAGACATGGCTAACATATCCCTGTAGCCTCACCTCAGCTGCCTGGAAGGGGTGGACGCCAGAGTGTTCTGATGAAGGCAGGGGAAAGTCCAAACAATTGTTTTTGTTTTGTTTTTTTGAGACAGGGTTTCTCTGTGTGTAATTCTGGCTGTCCTGGAACTCACTCTGTAGACCAGGCTGGCTCCGAACTCACAGAGATCCACCTGCCTCTGTCTCCCAAGCGCTGGGACTAAAGGTGTGCGCCACACCTGGCTAGTCCAGTGAGTTGAAATGCTTTAACGCCCAGTGTGGGGACACATGCTCACTCGCTGTCACACACATTACCTTCATCTAGTCAACAAAGGAAATAGAGACATTAACAAATACAGAACCAGAGATCACATGCTGACAATAGAAGCCACAAGGCAAGTCCCTCACAGACCCGATGACATGGGGAAGAGAGGAACCCTTCCTTCTCTAGCCTGGACCTTGCCACCTCATTACTTTTTCGTGGGTTTCTTCTTTAGCTCTTTATAATTTTATGACAGAAATGGGCTCATAATACACTGTTTTGTTTTTGTTTTTTCCTCATGAGTCAAAGAAAGGAAGTAGGTGACCTAAAGCTTAAATATAACCTTGAATGGCAAGGAAATTATATATACTCTGAATAGATTTTCTGCAGTTAGTTTGTTCCCCAAGAGGCTTTCAGAACAAAGCATTGTTTTGGTCATTAATTTATATCCTGTATATCTCTTATGCCACAGAACTTGAATAGATATTAGATAGTTTAAAAATGAAAGATGAAGAGTATATATAGTATTTATTTCCAAGTCATAGATGGAGAAACCTGCCCAAGTTCAAACTCATTTGGAGTTGTAGAGTCTTATAGGACAGGCTTGCTTGTTTGCCCCATTGTGTTACTTTTCTTTGGGGAAGGGGCAGAAAGAAGCAAATGTTTAAATGGAGATATTTCCAGTGTAGAGAAGGACCTCAAGGGGGGGTATTGTAGTAAATAATTAAAAAAGTGTTGTTCTATATAATGTTTAATGTTATTTGCCCTGTGATTATCACGGCAGTATTATCCAACCCACTATCACAAATAATAAGACACAGACACCTGTTAGATTTATAATTACCTTATTTGCCTCGGGCCAGGCAGATATTCCTACCTACACTGTCTGAGTCACCTCACCATCCATCTCCGAGCCCCCATCCAATGCCATCCTCCTTAACCATTCTATCTTCCATCCATAATCGTATAAATACTTGCTTTTAGTCTTCACCAGGGCCTTCTCATGCCATTATTGGAGTCCTTCCTCCCAGTTCCACGAGATTTCTTCTCCAGGCTAACCCATTGTGGTGTCCTCCTTCTTCCTCTTTTCCCATCTGTTTGTTTGTCCCCTTTGTTTCTCTCTGTCCTCTCCAAGCCGGGAACCTTAGCCACACCTACCCCATTCTGACCTGCCCAGGTATAGGCCGTTTCATTAGCTAATCAGGTAGGTTTATACAACATGGATAGATGTACACAGACCTTGAGGGTAGTGACATGCATCAGAACAACCTCCAACAGGGGTGTTTCCTTTGTGTAGCATGAAGATAGGTTGAATGTGTCCAATTGTCTATCTCGACTTAGCCATGTCACCAGAAGGGTGATGACATAACCATTTGAGGCGAAATGTCTTCGGGGAGTGGCACAGCTCACCGTTCCTTTTCTGGGTTTTTAAGGAAGCTGTTTTTGTCCAAGTGCCTGGCCAGAGTCTTCATTGCCCTTTCACAGCTCACAGTGTACCTCTAACGAGCACACAGGAATCAGTGTGGGTTTCCACGTTCCATACAGGTTACTAGACTACTTCCTGTCCCAAGAGGCCAACAGCTCAGGAAAATATGCTTCCTGGGGGATGTCAAAGAAATGTCCTTAATTTATGTTCTTCAGTTCTGTGTGCCCAGGAAGACTTGAATTTTTTTTAAATTGATCAAGAGGGTTGAAATAAGGAATTAGGCATGTAAGCAGTGCTAACAGACATGAACTATATCTGTGGTAGGTGTGGAAACCCGAAACCGTTAATAATTGTAGGCTTAAAGACATTTCCTTTTAATTTACTACTTTTTGTTGCATAAAATTTAATTTATGGTCTGTGTGCCTTATTCTAACTATTATGAGAAAATTACCCTTAAACTTCTAAAGTATCTTATATAAATGTTCTTCGCGAGCGCCGATACTGAGCTTCGGCAATGAGAATAGGCCAGCTACACGCACTGAAATTGAAGTCATTCTGCCATTCAGCAGGGAAATAATTTAGTAAAACCAGATTAAATCTCTCTCAATAAAATGACAATTTCATATACTTGGAGAACTCAATGTGTAGCAGAATCTATTAGAGCCGAATCGTGATGTGGAATTGTATCCTCAGAATTATCCACGCTCCTCTTCAGAGTCCTTCCCCCTTTGTTGCACAGAATTAAATTCTCTGCCTGTGACTTTATTCAAATAACCCCTTAGTATCTTTCGTCGTGATTTTTCTCTGATAGAACTTTATTTCGCTTTCTCAGACTCTGGCAGTGGTGGTATCCTGTAGGTGGTGTCAAGGTCGAGTTCAGTTTACTTAGATGATTGCAATACCAGTTGGCCCTCTCTCCTTGACCCCTAGTCCCCCCCACCCTTTGCATAACTCTTCCTGTTATTAACTGGATCTCATTTGAGCTTACCCCATCCGTTTGGCACTTGGTTGACTGGGTCTTGCTGTATTTTCTAGATGTACCTCAAGTCAGAGAGGAAGGCGACCCCCTGCCTTGTACTTGTTTAACGAGTTGGTGAGGGAGCTTGGGTTTGGCATCAAGACAAATAGCTGCATGTTGGTTCCCATTATCTCGCTATGTGATGCTATCTCACTGCAGCTTTCTAGAAGCATTTCCTTGCTGGTGGTGACCTTTTCCGATATATACCTCCCTCTCCCCTCCTTGCCCCCATCCCATAGGTCATCACTGACCTGGAAGAGCAGCTGAACCAGCTGACTGAGGACAATGCTGAGCTCAACAACCAAAACTTCTACTTGTCCAAACAACTCGATGAGGCCTCTGGTGCCAATGACGAGATCGTGCAGCTGCGGAGCGAGGTGGACCATCTCCGCCGTGAGATCACCGAGCGGGAGATGCAGCTCACCAGCCAGAAGCAAGTAAGTGGGCAGGCTGGGCCCGGGCTCCCTGGAGGACCCTTAGAAGGGTTCTCTCTGGGGTTCTGAGACTGGGCTGGCTCCTGCCAGTCCCAGTTTATAGCCAAGGATTAGTCTTTAAAATGGCTTTTAAAGTGGGTCCTGGGAACTGGGCCCAGTGACCCACATCTGTAATATCAGCACTAGGAGAGGCAGAGGCAGGCAGATGTCTGTGAGTTCGAAACCAGCCTGGTCTACAAAGCAAGTCCAGGATAGCCAAGGCTACACAGGGAAACACTGTCTCAAAAAACAAACAAACCAAAAACAAAACAAAACAAAACAAAACAAAAAAACAAAAAAAGTGGGTGCTGAGGCTAGAAATGACCCAGAAGTTAAGAGCGTTAAGTTACTGCTTTTTAGAAGGTAGTTCCCAGCACTCCCATATTGGGTGGCTCACAGCAGTCCGTAACCTCCAGTTCCAAGGGGTTCAACACCATCTTCTGGCCTCCATAGGTACTTGCACACATGTGGCATACACTCAAACAGAGAGACACACTCACACGCACATAAAATAAAGACAGTGTCTTACCGTGTAACCTCGCCTAGCCTAGTGCAGCCTACGCTGACAGTCAACTCTTGACCTTCTCATGAGTGCTGGGACTGTAGGTGTGTGCCCCACAACCCTGCCCTGAGACTAGGTCTTTGTGGACCCCCTCAGATGGTAGTACAGCTGACCATTGCTCTGTTGTCTTCTGGTCTCTTGGGCTGTGGGAGAGAAAAACCAACTGTGTCTAAGTCTGGTTAGGAACTTATGTCTTTCTGAAGCTCGTTTGACAAAAGTAACCTCCAGGAATCCCCGTTTGATACAAGGCGCCACTCAGTGCTACTGATTTGCAGACAATGGAAGCCCTGAAGACCACGTGCACCATGCTGGAGGAGCAGGTCATGGATCTGGAGGCCCTGAATGACGAGCTGCTTGAGAAGGAGCGTCAGTGGGAGGCCTGGAGGAGTGTCCTTGGGGATGAGAAGTCCCAGTTTGAGTGCCGAGTTCGAGAGCTGCAGAGGATGCTGGACACCGAGAAACAGAGCAGGTGAGAACTGGCACTTCTGTAGAAAGCCAGCACCGGTGGCCATACCTGAATCCCCCTGAGAGCTGCAAACCGAACAACCAACTGTCCCAGTGTTCTAAACTGAGCTGTCTTCTGGGATGCAGGACTTTCAGAGTGATGACCAGGAGAAGTCTTAGGCAAGCCAGGGAAGAGTGGGCATTCTGGCTATAAGTCTGGCAAACACCACTTGGGTCCTGTGGTAGGGTCTGGTGTGATTTTACTCTGCGCAGAGGCCCAGAAATCAAGGAGAACACAAAATATCAGTGCTCTTCTATAAAAACACTCTTAGCAAGATTCCTAACTCAACCATGTCACCAGTGTAGCAAGATCCCACTATCTGAATCCGGACCGTGGGGTCTCTCTCCTTTCCCTTCTGTTCTAGAGGTCTGGGGTTCCCATTTATGTATGTGGGCTGCTCTGTATTGTAACACAGGGGGGCATCTTGCCTGGATTCTTCTCACTAGATGCCAGCAGCAACTTATTTTTCAAGCTGTGACAATCAAAAACAAATTCCAGAATTTACCCAGCATCCCGAGGCCTGGAAATGCACCCACTCCTTCCTCCTCTCTCTCCCCTGTCTTTTTTTTTTTTTTTTTTTTTTCTTCTTTAAGTGGTTGTTTATTCTCTATTCTCCTGCCCAGTTATCAGTTCTCTCCCTGCTGGGCCCACTACAGTTCAGAGAGCAGTGTTCATGTCAAGCGTGCTACCTAACTGAAGAGTTGCTAATGCCCAGTGTGTAACCCATGGCAGCATTCTGCTGTATTCTAACCATGTGTTGTGTAAAGATGATAAGAGATGGTCTTGAAACACAAGGGCCCTGCTTCATGTTTTCACATGGGCCAGTACTGGCCCACGACTACACGTCCCTTTCTGCATGGTATCTTACCTTTCTGAACCCTGTGTTGCCACCTCCCTGTGGGTCTCTGTATCCTGTAAGCAAGGTACCCTAATCAGACTGTGCCATAGTCATATTTTTTGGCCCCCATGATTAGTTGGTGGCCATAGAATACTCAGTACAATATGCTGCCTGAATAATCTAGTTCCTAGTGGAGTTGAAATAGAAGAGATGAAGAGGCAGAAGATGAGAACTCTCAGATTGCAAGAGAACATGGGAGCAACAGTTGCTTTGTGGCACATTAGGGTGTATGATGTGAAGGACTGAAGTTTTAAAAGTGTCTCTGCTTCCTTCCAAGCCATTGGGCTCCCCTGGACATGCCAGCCATCTTCCAGAGACCTCTCCCACCCCACCCTTAGCTTGTATCCGAGCTGTCCCTTCAGTCTGTCAGGCATAAGAGAGACGCCGCCACACCTGGAAAGTGTGGACTGCATTATTCCATGCCTGCTCCCAGGGCTGGTGTAAAAAGTCCTGCCTTGCTTTACCGTTTTTATTTGGTATCATGTAGCTGAACAAAATATACTTTTTAATCCTTGTCCTCATCCTCAAGAAGCCAAGAGTCCCCTTCCTATGTGTTCCGATGATATCTTCCACCTAGAACAGAGAGTGCTGCGTGCTTGGAGAGGAATGGGCTTGTGCTTTGGGTGGAGAACAGGGGAGTGTGATGTCTGGGAGGCAGAGCTGGAGCAGGTTTAGGAGCCTGCACAGGCCTTTATCCAGGAAGGCTGAGAGTTTGCATTGCCACACATGAGCCAACGTGCAGAGGCAGGCAACATAGGACTTAGATGTGGGAAGAAAAGTGATAATTCCCCTCTTTTACATTTGAATTTATGTATTCTTTAGTGGATACATTCATCAGGTTCAAGTTGAGAACTCAAAACACATGGGGCTTTTCCTGTGTTCAAGGGGGAAAGACGTTCTCTAGAATTCGAATGGGGTCCACCTCGTGTGCTCTGGTTCTTTGGTGGCAATGAAGTTGGGGGAATTGCATGTCCACAGGGAATCTGTGACACTCTGGGCACATCCCTGTTCAGTCCTGTTTGCATTTGAGAATGGCTTTTTTCCTCTTCAGCCTTTCTAGTCAGTCCCCACAGGACTTTACTGCTCCAGGGCAATTTTAACCCAAGTCTGAAATGGGTCAGTTTTTTGCTCTGTAAGCTGTCAGGAAGGAAGACAGCATTTAAAGGTAGGATCCATGGTTGGGCTTCTGTCCAACCTGCAGCCTGTTTAAAACTGGACCAGCCTCCTCCCTCCGGGCCTGTGGTATGTGGCTCCTGACAGCAGGCCTGTGCTTCTCTGGCAGGGCGAGAGCTGACCAGCGGATCACCGAGTCTCGCCAGGTGGTGGAGTTGGCAGTGAAGGAACACAAGGCCGAGATTCTTGCTCTGCAGCAGGCTCTCAAAGAACAGAAGCTGAAAGCCGAGAGCCTGTCCGACAAGGTCAGCACCCGTCCCTTCTGCCTCGTAGGAAAACATCTTTGTTTCTCCCTGGAAAGGCAGGATTAACAGGAATTCAGATACAAACCCATGGTAAACATTTCCAAAGCATTCCTTTGCTCACTACAAAAAATGTCAGATATGACTCATGGTGGGGCATTCCTGGTTGTCGGTGGCATAACTGGGTGTGGTGGGTTCTGGTTTATCTTGGTTGGATGGTGAGTTTTTAACATCTACCTTTCTGGGGCCCAAAGTTCAATACTGGGCACACAACACTATTTTATTCCTAGAAGGCCTTGTAAGCCTCATGTTTTTCATTCTTCAGAAGAGCATAGTAACAATGACTATTTTTTCCAGTGTGACTGCAGGCAGTTCAGGTTTTCCATATGCCATGTTCATGGTGAGTCTATAGCAGTCCATTTTCTGTTGCTATAACCAAGTACTTGAGATGAGGTAATGTTGTTATAAAGAAAGAACATCCCAATAAAGACTCTGGAGTCAGATATTGGGGTGAAAAGCTGCTAGCTCAGAGAGGCAGAGAAAGCACCCAGCTGACTTTCCTACTCAGCTCACGTCCTAAGGGAAAAAGCCTTTCTTAATTATCTAATGTCCCAGATGGAAAAAGCCCAAAGCTAAAAACCAAAAGCTCAAAGCCCTAAAAACCAAATGGCCAAGGCCCAAAGCTTGCTAGCCCAGGAAGAAAAATCCAAAAAGCTCTTTCTTCTCCATGCTGTTTTAAATACTCTTCTCTCAAAGTCCCTTCTTTCTGTTTAGTTCCTGTCAGCTGGTTTTTTGCTCCACCTCTTGACCTAGGGTTAACTTTATTAAATTGTGTGTACAGAAAGCTCTTAGATTAAAGGTGTTTGCTAGAGCTGAAACCACACCAAACAAGAAACAGTGCACAATCTCGGGGTTCACAGTGGGATTGAATATCCCACAAAAAGGTAATTTATAAAGAAAATTATTTGTCTAATAGTTCTGGAGGCTGGGAAGTCCCTGATCACGGTAGCATCTGTTGAGGACCCTTTTACTGTGTCATGATGGTGGCAGATGCTGCATGGTGAACTGCATGATTACTTGCTTAGGAAGCCAGTAATGCCTCTGCAGGGGGTCTCACCCTTACAGCCTCATGTAATACTAATATTTCCCAAAGACTACACTTCCAAATGTCATGTATATGTGAGTTAGGTTAAGTTCTAATACAAGAATTTGGGGGGACGTCCAGACCACAAGCTCTTAGCATTTCAGGTTGGGAATACTTGTGTTCTGCCCATTCCCTACGTTCTGCAGTGCCTCCACAGCGGTGTGCCAGTGCTTGGCTGTCTTGTCTAGTTAACTTTAAAAAGATGTAGAACAGGCACTTGAGGGTTACAGTCGGAGAAGCGTATGTTCCCACACATCCCTTTTTACAGATGTGCACATACAGTGGCCATCTGCATTCTGCATTTTAAACAACACTTTTATTTCACATTTATAAAATTTATTATTACTTAGGGCCATTGTGGAAAATAACGAAACCACCGTGAAAGTAAAAGAAAAGCTAGTAATGATGACCTTGGGAGATTTATTTACAGCCTTCTGTTTGGTTATTCTTATGTGTGCACATACTTTTTTTTTAAATATAAATTTAGGCTCTTACTGTTTATGCTTTTACACTTTTTAAAATAAAATCATGTATCTGGAGGCTTTTACTACTTATTAAATATTTTTTTAAAACATGTAATTTCAGAAAAAAAATTGCATGCAGGCACCTAATTTAAGCATTGCTTTCGTACAAGAAATTTGGGCTTCTTCCAATTTTTTTTTTTTTTTTTGGCCATATGAATAACAGTGTGATGAACATAAATCTTTATGGACATCTGTTATAATTTTCTTACTGGAAATTCTTAGAAACAGAATCACTGGACTCAAGGTTATAGCTCACCACTCAAGGACAGTTCTGGCTTGAAGTCTAGCTGTTCATGGTTTTTAATAACAGTTTTAATATCTTGAGGAAAGTACATTTATTGTCTGGAGATAAATGAACCTTTCTGGGTTTAATGCTGCTTTTCTAGTTGGCTGTTGTTTGGTATTTAGTAGCCAACTTCTGGGTGTCTAGCTATTCCAGTAGCATTTTATCTTACCTGTTTCTGAGAGCGTTTTCTCTAACAAGGTGGTTGTCCTTCGTGGATGTGCCTCCTGGTAGCTTGTGCCTCATGGTAGCCCTGCTCTCAGCCTTTCTGGCAGATACGGATTTTGGGAAGGGCTTGGCCATCTTCTCATCCTCATAGCTAGAATAAATATAGTAAGCCCTCAGAATATGACTACTTAATTAAATTCAGGCAAAGCGTGGCAGGTGAACTGAGGAGCCATGCTCTTGAGACTTGTTGCAGTGACACAGATGACCCACAGAGGGGATTCCTGTCTCACATCTGTCATGTGGACTTGTCTCTTTTTTTTCCAAATGAAAACTTGTGCTTTTAGACCTTGGTTAACCTTTACATGTGAAGTTTGGGGAACATCTTTAAGGTATCTGCTTTCTCTTAACGTTACCAAATGTGACATCACGGCCAATCTTTCCAAATGCCCAGCTCAATGACCTGGAGAAGAAGCACGCCATGCTAGAGATGAACGCCCGGAGCTTACAGCAGAAGCTGGAGACAGAGCGGGAGCTCAAACAGAGGCTTCTGGAAGAGGTGAGTGTGAACCACCTGGGAGGTACCGCCTGTGTGTGTGAGCGTGTGTGTGTGTGTGTGTGTGTGTGTGTGTGTGTTACTGCCTGTGCGCACGTGTGTGCATGTACATGAGAGTGTGTGTGTGCATGTATGTGTGTGTATGTACAGATCTCGTGCCTGGGTACATGCATGCATTCATGTGTGCTTGAGATTGTGGAAGTGTGCATGCATATGTGTGCGTGTGTGTGTGTGTTGCCCACATGTGTATGTGTGGGGTTATGTGCCTGTATGCCGACATATGCAGAGGCCAGAGGAATATGTTGGTGACTTGTCTGTTGCTCTCCACTTCATTGCCTTGAGATGTGGCCTCTCACTGAAATGGAAGCTCAACATTTTGACTAGATTAGTGAGCTCAAGAGATGACCTCCCCAACACCCGGCCCTGGAGTTACAGGCATCCATAGCCACAGCTGGCACTTGGGCTGGCAGTGGCAGTCCCACTTCAGGTCCTCATTCTTGCATAGGAAGTGGTTTTTATCCACTACACCATCTTCCAAAGGCCTCCCAACCCCAGCTAAGACTTGGAAAGAGGAAATTTGTTAGGTTCAGGTGATTAGATTCAAATTAGACATTCAGATTTTGAAACTTTAGAATTTTTGAGGTGGAGTAAGGGGGTCGCATACATTACTTTCTGTAGTTTAACAGTGAAAGGGCTTCTCTTGAAGGCTAGAGCATCTCTGTTTTGTGTGTCTTCCAATATGACCCTTGATGGAGACTGCTGTTCACTGTAGTAAGTATGTGCCCAATAGAGGGTTGTTGAGCGCATGGCTGCGTGACTACTGAGTTGAAATATCTTAGAGCTGAAAGCAGAAGCAGGCATTTTTAACACATTCACATTTTGACTGTGACCCATCACATGAGATCAGTTGTGGCATTTTTCTACTCAAGGAGTTTTGGGTTTGGAAGCATTTGCAATTTGGGGTTTTGCTCTAGGGAATGTTTAACCTGTAATAGAACCCATCAATCTGCCAGGTGGTCTTTTCTCTGGGATGAATAGGCAATGTTCCGGCATTTGGAACACGCTGGAAACAGAAACAGGACAGAAATAATCAAGCGTCCTATTTCCCATCTGCAGAGGGCAGGCTGGCCCTGTCAGCTCTGAGCTTGGTCCAGGGTTACATGGTGAGTCAGTGGCAAAGCCAGGAATAGCACACTGAAGCCTGACTCAGCCCCACCTTCTCACTTTTGACTTAGGAGAACATCACAGCTCCATAGTCTACAGCTCATGGACAGATGTTTGAGTAGACATCTGGTCAACATTGATTTCAGCTGGAACTCACATATCATTAAAAACCATCATAAGACAAAAAAACAAAACAAAACAAAAAAAAAACATAATCATTACCATCCAAAATGTAGTTGGGACCCTGGGTTGTGGTATGTGCCTCATAAGTTTGGCATCAACCAAAGAGTTGTCTCCACAGGAACTTTGAAAAGAGACAGACATGGTCTCAGATTTTGGAATTTTTGATGTCATTCAGCCCAAATTCCTCTCATGACCGACTTCCCCTACCTGATTTTACAATGGCCCTTTCTCCCATTTTAGTCCTCTGAAGTCCTGCCTGAACTGAATGTCCATCCGCCCACTGGTTAAGGCTTATGTCCTACACGGGGTGGAAGGTCACCTCCCCAGCACTTCCCACAGGCAGACCTTGCTGAACCTCTGCCAGGAGAGTGGCAGTAAAGGGGACATCACATGCTATTTTCCAGCAACTCTTCGTTTCTAGAAACTCCTTTCTTATTTTCAAAAGCCTACAACTGCCAAGTATTTTGAGGCTAGTGTGGTTTCAAAGATAAGCATTAATAGTCAATTTTTCTTTTATTTTTATTTATGTGTGTGCATGTCCACATGTGCGTGGGTCCATGTGAGGGCATTGGCTCCCCTGTCTCTGGAGCTACAGGTAGTGGTGAGCCACCTATGTGGGTGCTAGGAACAGAACTTGAATCCTCTGGAAGAGCAGCAAAAACTCTTAACCATTGAGCTGTCTTTCTAGAGTCAAATTATTTGATTGATGATCAAAGTAATTGGAAGCTGGGGATGTAGCTTTACTGGTTGACTTGACTGATTGGTTGCCTAGTGTGTGCAAGGGCCTGGGTTCAACCCCCCAACAGTATTTAAAAAAAAAAAAAGCCCAACCCACAGAAAACAAAAGCAAGCAAGTCAAAGAACAAAACACACACACACACACACACACACACACACACACACACAAAATGTCTGTCACCAACAGTTACCAGGTTCACGTGTCTTACTCTGAACTGTACATGAATTTGTGTTGTCCTTGCAGGGACCGTACAGGGTGGTAGTTCTTTCTAGGTCCCTGTGCATTTTCTCTGTGGTCTACGTGGAGTGCAGTATTTCTGTCTTTCCCTTCGGCTCAACACACCCTCTTATGGTAACCATGCCATTGGCACTCATTAACCTGTGAAATTACGCCCATTTGTCCACAAAATTTATTCTTAAGCATCTTTGCACCCCATATTTATTCAGTTGATGTTCTAAAAATGCCATCCTACCGACCTTTTTCTTTTGAGACGTGACCTGTCCTTCCTGTTCACTGAAATCGCCCATGCTCCAGTTCTGTCATCCATTCCTTGCGTCACCCTCTCAGTTCCTTGTCACTCTCATAAAGTTGTTGGACATGTCTAAGGACATCACCAAGGCCCGTCTCCCAGGAGAGCACTGGCCCACAAGCACACCTCACTTTGCTTCTTTCTGGGCAGCAGACAGAGGGCTTTGAAGAACATTCCAGAGAGTGCAAATACCACTGTCCCTTGATTTTATTATAGTAAACAAACAGCCTATTTCTTGGAGAGCTGACGGATAATTGATGTGTTGTGTCTAGAGAAATATTTTTGGCTCAGCTGTCACCAAATAGATCGTTTGTGCTCATAACATGTTTCTCTGGTTCCTGCTTGCTAATGAATGTTTTCCTAAAGTAGTGGAAGAAACTAAGGACTCTGAGGGACCGAAACTACCGTTCGAGGCAGCAGCATCTTAACTGTTTTCTTCTTTGTCTTCTGTTTTTTTTTTTTTTTTTTTAAGGACTCTGGTTTATGTTAGAAATTCCAAGCTATGCACTTTAGTAGTTGTTTTTGTCTTGGTTGTGGCAAAATACATGACATACAGGACTTGCAGGAGGATGGATTTATTTTAGCCTGTGGCTTTGGAAGAAGTGTCCATCTTTGTGGGGAGGGTTTGGAGAGGTGGAGCCACGCACACCATGGCAACCAGGAAGCAGAGAGCAGGGGGCAAAAGAGATGTAGTTCACAGGTAGGCCACACCTCCCACCATCCAGTGTCCCCACCCCATGGCACCTCTGTCATTGTGAACCCATCACAGGGCCCATCAGGCCAGAGCCCCTAAGATCGAACCACACTGGGAATTCACAAACACAAGCGCTTCACTAACCTCTTTCCCATCAAGCTGAGCATTAGGTTTAACCATCTTGCATGCTAAGAGTGGCTTGGTTGGTCTAAGGCAGATGGGAAAGTGAGAAAAGCGCTGAATTGGAAGGGGAGAAGAGAGGAGGACACAGAGAGACTACCAACATGTGTTTAAGCACTGGCTATATGGACACTGTGTTCAGTGTGTCACTCGGGAAGGTAGGGTTTCACGCGCACTGGGGAAGGAACAAAGGCTGGGCAAGGCAACACGAGCTGCGATGAAGTCAGCGTGTAATTCAGGACCCAGACCATTGCAGGGTCGAGATTCTTAGTATAGCACTGTAGCTCTGCCGGTTGTTGCGGTAGACATGAGAAGAAACATTGAAGGCGGTGAAGGAAGAGAACGAGGGCAGGCCAGTCCTGAGGCCATCGTGGCTCCCATTCTGCGGAGGTTGGGGACTGGGCATCTGCCTTGGCTGAAAGTACCCAGGACAATGTTTATTTTACTTTCTGAACTTGCTTTCCCTTAGTCTGCAGAGACTCTCTACCATCTGGAAGAGGTTTTGTGGGCCACAGTGGCTGTGCTTATGTGATGATCCGAGGTTAGATGAAATCAAGCAGTGTCTCCCTGGATGGGGCATGTTTTAGGAAGGAGTCGGTTGACTTACATTGCAAAGATTAGAGAGGTTTTTTTCAACACAAACTCTCTCCTATATATGATACTGAATTCTCCCTTTGGGTTTTACCAACTCCTGTTGCATAGCTAGATTCTTTTTCCTTTGTCCCTACACTGTAGAAATGTGTCTTCTAATTGTGGCTATTTATGTACTCAAGGGGAGTGACTTTCTGATCACCTGTTGAGGTCCTAGACACCTCCAAGTAGGACAAATGGATCTCATTCTCACTGCTTCACTGTCAGCTTTGGATTTTCCTCTGAGGTGCCAAAATGGCTTCCTTTGTAAGACAGAGTGAGGAGGCCTGGATTTCTGCTACACTTCAGTGTGAGATTATAGGCATGTGGCCTTCAGAAGGTCCTAGAAACTTCTTTTTCAGCTGTGCCCTCCTGTCTTGGAATAGAAAACAACCAGCAATTCTGGAAGAAGCTCTCACAAGGGAACTTCCAGTGCTGTGATGGAAGTTAGTTGGGGAATAGAAAGCGGTGGGAAAGGGCTGTACTCTGCCTGGTATCAAGCCTCTTGCTATCCTCTCTGCCTCACCAGCAAGCCAAGTTGCAGCAGCAGATGGACCTACAGAAGAACCACATCTTCCGCCTGACACAAGGGCTTCAGGAGGCGCTGGACCGGGCAGATCTGCTGAAGACAGAGAGGAGCGACCTGGAGTATCAGCTGGAAAACATTCAGGTGAGGGCCAGCAGGGGCCGCTGCTGCCCACTCCTCCCCCACTTCCTTCCTTTCTCTGCCTGTCCTTTCCCACTCTCCTCCCCTTCCTTCCTTTTTTCTCCCCTTCCTTCCCCCTCTCCTCCCTTTCTTTCCCCTCTCTTCCCCTTCTCCCTTCCTCTTCCCCTTTTCCTTTCCTTACCCCTACTTCTTCTTTTCTGTTGTTAATATCTTTTGGTTGTTGGCTGCATGTGTTTCTCCAACATTTAATTATAAAAAAATTTCAAACATTCTTTGAAGTTGAAAGCTCTCTCCATAGTATCCACCACCTGAAACCCACAATTAACCACTGTATGTTTTACTCTTCATGTGCTTATTGGTTATTTACTGTGTTTATTTGAGAGGTGCACCAGGGGATGTGTATGGAGGTTAGACAGCAGCCCGTGGAAGTCAATTCCCTCCTCCATGTGGGTCTTAGGATCCAAATAACAGGCTTGGTGGCAGGCCTTTACCCACTGAGCCATCTTGCTGGCCTCATGAGTTTTTGTTCTTTATTTTTTTCTCTTTACCATAAAATTTGGGACTAAATATTTACCCACCCATTGTTCATGTTCCATTTTCCTACTTGACTGTTCATGTTCTTAAAGTACCAAATTCAAACATAGGCTTTCCTCCGACTCTGAGGTCATCCTTGTTTCTATGAATTTTAGGTTCTCTATTCTCATGAAAAGGTGAAAATGGAAGGCACTATTTCTCAACAAACCAAACTCATTGATTTTCTGCAAGCCAAAATGGACCAGCCGGCTAAAAAGAAAAAGGTGAGTTATGGTGCTTGACAGCAGGAGCAGGCAGTCTCGCTCCATCACCCATGATTTGGTGGATACCACTGTGATAAATCATCATCGAAACAGAAGAAGAACATACATCTTTGTTTATTCTGGTTGAGAACTAGATCTAAGTATATCTGGAGTAGCCTTTATCATAGGGGACCATTGATCAGGACTAACCAAGAACTCAGCTCTGAAGAGGAGCAGTGCTTCCCTTTGCTCCTGAAGAGTAGCTAGGATGGAATAGGGGTCATCTGCTGAAGGAGAGAAAGGCTTTCACATAGGTTGACTGTTAGGTTTGAAGGTCATGTGTAAGTGGCTTCCGAGAGTTTAGCAGGTCACACACCTGGGACTCTAGGGTGGTTCTCATGTCATCTGCATGGGTCTGCTGCAAGCACTTAGGGCTGACCTGTCCAGTGCTTTTACTTACCTTTATTCTTTGATCTTTTCAAGACAGAGTTTTGCTATGTGGTTCAGGCTGGACTTAAAATTCATAATTGTTTTGCCTTCTGAGTGCTAGGTTTGCAGGTATGCTCTGCCATAGTCCTGTGCTATTAAATGGCTAGCCTGGATACAGGGAAGTTGAAATGACCTGCTTAAAACTTGATTAGACAGCTGTTGCCTTCACCAGCATTGCACTTTCTGCTTTGAACTGTAACAAACAAATGGAAAACTGAATGAAAAGCCAGCTGTGACATACGAGGCCCTAGGTTCAGTTCCAGTACGAGTGGTGGGGTTGGGCTGGCTATGAACCAGGTTATATGAAGGTTCCCCTGTGAGGATTGGCTTTCACAAGCCCAGTCCATGTGCTGCCCAACTGCTGCAGCTCTCATCTTATGTTGGCCAAGTGTTCTGAGTTTCAGAAGGGTTTCTAAGGCCTTGCCAGTTTCTTCCCAAGGGTCCTAGCACACTGCAGTAACCGTGGCAGCAATTTTAAAGGGAAGGACTTGATGACTTGGAATAGCCTGTGGAAGGGACTGAGGCCCACGGCTGGCCTCAGTATTCCCTGGGTCAGCTCTGGGGCTGAGGTGGGGAGCGCGTGCTGGCAAGGGAGGGTTTCTCACACACCATGTTACCATATATGCTTGCTATACTTCATGATATTTAATCTTTTTATTTTTATTTTAGCAGCGGACTATTGTCTGGTTGTGTCATTGATGTAGTTAGGGTGTTTACATTTGTTTTCCTTTTAGTTAATTTTTGTCAGATGCGTGATTCCATTTTTTTTTCTCTTCTGTGTACAGTAAATGTTTCTGTTTGTATTTTTTTTAGTAAGCCCTTTGTTTTGATATCATTTTAGCATTTGTTTTCCAATTTTGCTTTCTTTTCTTAAAAATAAAAACAAACACACCCCTCCCATGTTCTGTCACCAATCAACATGAGACAAGTTCAAAGGCAAGAACGACCTCTGAACCATAGCCACCTCTCCCAGCTCCACACTCCATCCATCCTGATTGCATTTTCTGAGGGGGAAAGACCCAGGAAATGGCTCTCCTGTCTTGGGAATGCTAAAGGAAGAGGTGGTGGCAGTTGAAGCATCTTTAACCCTCTTGGTGAAAACTTCCGCACCCCACTCTTTTTTTCAGCCGACTGGAATGGCTGAGGCTCAGCCTCCCCTCCCCCCCCTTCACATGCCATTTTTCCCCAAACACACTTACAGTGAGTATGTGCCTGGCCTTGGTGGCTTGCTCCTCCCGAGTCAGCTTTCCTCTAGCTTGGGTTCAGTGTCAGTTTCTAGGAGTTAGGAGATATCTCTGTTTCCATTGCTAGGGTTTATTTAGTCGACGGAAAGAGGACCCTGCTTTGCCCACACAGGTTCCTCTGCAGTACAATGAACTGAAGCTAGCCCTGGAAAAGGAGAAAGCGCGCTGTGCAGAGTTGGAGGAAGCCCTTCAGAAGACCCGCATTGAACTCCGGTCTGCCCGGGAGGAAGGTAGGAGCTCTTGGAAAGCCTTCAAAACTATGGACCAGGCTGAAGACCATGCCCCCTGAGACTGGCCAAAACTAGCTCAGCATCTTTGTTTGTGGCCTGTGCATTTTCATTCCCAGCGTGTCCCATATTTGAAAGTTTTCCAGCCTCCTCAGTGTTACTGAGTTAGCACAACACGTGCCCTTTTGGTCTTGGGTCCTTGAAAGACAGCCATAGGTAACCTCCACTAGGTGGCTGAGTCAACTGAAAGGCTTTGTACTGGTGTCTCTGCAGCTGCCCACCGCAAAGCCACAGACCACCCACACCCGTCTACGCCCGCCACTGCGAGGCAGCAGATTGCCATGTCTGCCATTGTGCGGTCACCCGAGCACCAGCCCAGTGCCATGAGCCTGCTTGCCCCGCCGTCCAGCCGCAGAAAGGAGACATCAACTCCAGAGGGTATGCTCTTACCACAGCCTGTTTAATACTGTTTTAACCAAACACCTGAAACAGGGTAGTTCATAAAGAAAAGAACTTCATTTGACTGAGAAGTCCAAGAGTGTGATGCCAGCCAGCATCTCTCAAGGACATCTCACTGCTGCCTAGTGTGGTAGAGGGAGTTTTGTGGCCAGGCAGAGCATGCTGGCCCAGGTCCTCCTCCCCCTCCTCCTTGTAAAGCCAATGCAAGCACGGGAGGCTTGTCCTCAGGACTTCATTCCCGGCGTCTAAGGCTGCGGAAGGTCTCCTTTCCGTTCTGTTACCCAGAGTCAAACACTGTAGTTTCCAGCATAGCTTATGCTGATATTCAGTTCCATACGTGATACGAATATAGTTCGAGAGCGTGAACATTCTGGTGGTGCACACCTTTAATCCCAGCGCTCAGGAGGCAAAGACTGGCAGATTGCTGTGAGTTTCAGATGAGCCAGGGCTACATAGTGAGACCCTATCTAAAAGCAGTGGCAGTGAACATGAGAAAAATTAACCTTTGTTTCTTAGGTCCACTTTAAAACAAATCTCACTGACACTGTCCTGTACCCTGCAAGCTATCTCAGTGTTATTTAAAGTGCTTTGTAGTAGTGGGTTAGATACGCTTCCCTCTGGCAAAGAGCTGCCTGCATATGTTGTGAAGTGTGGCTATGTGAGTCCCTACCAAAGCAGACCTGTCCTTGCTGCCACCTGCCTTACACGACATCCTGTACCTCCAGAAGTGGCTGACGGATGAGTCCTTAGAAACAAATCAGTGGGTGAAAGGTTATGGGCACTTCAAATGTAACCAATTTGTGGCCAGTTGCTATGACCACTGACAGAGTAAAGGGTTTTCCTTGTGGTCTCAAAAATAATGTGTCACACAGAGATGAAAGGGACGAGGAGAATGGTTTGAGAAGCCTTGGGAGAGCAGAGTAGAGCTATCACTCAGCACCCTGGCTTCACCATCAACCTTCTCATGTTGTGAATCAATCTGTCTGTCTGTCTATCTATCTATCTATCTATCTATCTATCTATCTATCTATCTATCTATCTATCTATCTTTCTACTTTTATTTGTTTTGAGTTTTTGAGACAGGGTTTTTCTGTAGCCCTGGCTGTCATGAACTCACTTTATAGACCAGGCTGTCCTTGAAGTCACAAAGATCCACCTGCTTCTGCCTCTCCAGTCAGGCTGTGAATTTTGATGACATTGTCTTGTGGCTGTGGACTTGTGGGCCAAAGTGCCTTCTTACTGTATTTATAGGACACTTTGGTCAGAATGCTTAACTCTAAAAGTCACCCAGATGGGAAAGAACCTGGCTAGGTGTCCACTGCCAGGTGTCCTGGAGCAGCTCTCTGGGCACTGTGGTTTCCTATGTCCCTCCTGGGTGTGTATCCTGCCCTCTGGGTATCGCTGTGCATTCGTGTCTCTTACTCCTTACAATATCCTGAGAAAGGAAGAGGGCGGTGTGGTAAGGAGACCTTAGCAAAGCAGGGCTTGGGGGATATTCTGAGCTCTTTTCTGTGTAAAGTTGCCTCTCACAGGTCACTGTGGAGGGAGAGCCAGTAAATGGGGTGGCGTGGGGGTGTTGGGTGGCTGGGCAGCCTTGTTAATTTAACAGCCTTGTTAATTTAATAGAAGTGTAAGACTCAGTTCTTCAAACATTAAAAGTTTTGAACAAATGGTTATTCATGGGAAAACTGGATGTAGGGACTGGAGAGATGGCTCAGAGGTTAAGAACACTGGCTGTTCTTCCAGAGGTCCTCAGTTCAATTCCCAGCAGCCACATGGTGGCTCACACCATCTATAATGAGATCTGGTGTCCTCTTCTGACGTGCAGATATACATGCAGACAGAACATTGAATACATAATAAATTAACTCTTAAAAAAAACTGGATGTAAAAGAATTCTTCAGTCAGTTCTTAATCAAATAACAAAAAATTCTGAAGTTCATAATTATTACTTTTAAACTGGATTCTATGAGAAGCATTACATACATCTTTCATGACTAAATATTTACAAATAATTAGGACTCGGCTTGTGGTTCGCACCTTTAGTTCTAGCATTCAGGAGCCAGGGGTAGAGACAGGCAAACCTCAGTGAGTTAGGGCCAGCCTGGTCTACATAATGAGTGAGTTCCAGGCCAGCCAATACTGAATGATGAGACCCTGTTTCAAACAACAATAACCACCTCCCTCTCTTAAGTGTTCACAAACATGTCGTCATTCAGCCAGCTTCCCACCAGGGATACGTTCTCAAATAAAGTAATTATCAGGTCATAGAGCCCTTATGATTTATATGAATCAGGATGCATGTGCAGTGGCTACAATAATTTTATAATTCATGTTTCAGCAGTTTAATATGATGTGCTTCCCACGCCCTGCAGATCACCTGCTTCAGATGTACGGTTCAGTGTTTTCAGGCCATTGTAGTGTTGTCTGATCATTATCACTCTGACCATAGGGCACCCCTGAACCGTGTCAGCAGACATTCTGTATCTGTCGCTCTCCCCACCTCTACTTTACTTCTCTGTGGGTTTGCTGGCCTAGGTCTTTCTCATGAATGGGATCACACTAATTACAGCCCTTTCTGACTGACTCTCCAGGACACTGTGTTCTTTGAGATCCACCCACATTTTGGCCCGCATCACCGCCGTGTTTCTTTTTTTTAATGTGGCTAAATAATATTTCATTGCTTGGTGCCACATCTTACCACTACGCTACAGGGGGGTGCTTGAGTTATTTCTGTTTGTGATTTTGTAAGTTGTGCCACTGTGAGCAATGTGCAGGATTTTTGTGGGCCTGTGTGTGTTTTCCATCCTCTTGGGCATAAGTCTAGTAGTGGATTTGCTGGAATAATATATGTATTGTATTCTATGTATAGCTTTTTGAGGAACTGTCCGACTGGGTCCCAAAGTAGCTGTACCATTTTCCATCCCCACTGGAAAGTTGTCATTCCTCCACATCCTCTTCAACCCTGGTTTTCCATTTCTCAGATTCTACACATTGTAGTGACATGGCACCTTGCTGTGGTTTTAATTTGCATTTCTCCTAAAGCCTAGTTACACCTTGCATCTTTTAGGGTACTTTGGGACCATTTTTCCTCCTTGGGAGAATATCTAGTTAAAGTGCTGGGTTGCAAGAACTCTGAATAGATTCTTGATACAAATCCAAACAGGGGGCCATCTCTCCCACCCTTTGGATTTTCGTCTCACTTTCACTTAACAATCTTTTCCCTGTAGAATTCAGCCGGCGTCTTAAGGAGCGGATGCACCACAACATTCCTCACCGGTTTAACGTTGGCCTGAACATGCGAGCCACCAAGTGCGCCGTGTGCCTGGACACCGTGCACTTTGGACGCCAGGCATCCAAGTGTCTCGGTAAGAGTGGGTTGCGCGTCTGTCTGGTGGAGGCAGCGTTTAAGCTGCCGTACAGTAGAGTCACTGCCGAAGCTTTTCCCTTCAGTGGGAGGGCACTGTTCCCTTTGTGATTTCAAACTCGGCTTCAGCTCGTGACCCCCAAGTCAGTATGAAAAGCTCTTCCATCTTTGTTCATTTCCAGCCCCTTGGTGTCAGGCTGGTGTCTCCTCTCCTGGCTTGAACTGGAACGAACATGTGCACATATTCCTGAACACACCTCTGTGGGTGCATAGACTGAAGCCAGGAAACCTGGCTGACACAGTAGCTCTCTGTGTCCCTGTAGGAGCGTGGCACCTTGGAGAGTATAGGGTTCACCTGTGTGCCCAGCTCCACTTGCAGTCCTCCTGGGGGTGGACAAGCTTGGGCCTGGCTGGAACTGCCCAAGCCCAGGTGGGCGCGCCTTCAGCATGTTCATTGCTCTCCTCTAGAATGTCAGGTGATGTGCCATCCCAAGTGCTCCACCTGCTTGCCAGCCACCTGTGGCCTGCCTGCTGAATATGCCACACACTTCACCGAGGCCTTCTGCCGTGACAAGATGAACTCCCCAGGTCTCCAGAGCAAGGAGCCCAGCAGCAGCTTGCACCTGGAAGGGTGGATGAAAGTGCCCAGGTACCATCGCAGGGTGGCCTGGACGGTCACAAGCCACTTCTTCTCTTCCTCTTCTTCTAGGGACGTTTCTTTGAGGAAGCCCCTCCCACTTGCTCCAGCCTCATTCTTTTCAGTTCTGACACTTTTCTTGTCCATCTCTCTTTTCCCAGGAATAACAAACGAGGGCAGCAAGGCTGGGACAGGAAGTACATTGTCTTGGAGGGGTCAAAAGTTCTCATCTATGACAATGAAGCCAGAGAAGGTAAATTAATGATTTAGGGGGAATGTCAGTGCACGCGGCTAACCCAGGCCTTCCAGTGTTGGAGTGAAGGCTTTGTTTTTAGTTTTTGGTTTTATTTATTTATTAATATTTAAAAAAAAAGAAAAACAAAAAAAAAAAAAAAAAAACCACAACTTTTTTTTTTTTTTTTTTTTTTTTTTGGACTGCCTCACAAGCCTTCTCTGCTTTCCCATTTTTCAAAGTGAAAGGCCAGGTGACTTTTCTAAAGGTTATTGGTGCGATACTCAATCTATAGGTCTCCCCCTTGAAGAACCCGCAGGGTGCTGCCCCGAAGATCCCACCTGCTAACACACCAGAGAGCTTCCGTCTCAGTCAACTAGCCCACAAATCCGCATCGCCACCACAAAGTTGACTGTGCCACTCATATGACACGCTTTATTTATTTTTTATCTTTCCCCTCTGCACCTCTTTCCTTTCTTTGTCCTTGTGCAACTTTTTATATGCCTCTCCTCTGCTCTGCTCTGCTTTCCACTGCTTTCCTTTGTTCTGTTCTCTCCCCTCCCTCTCCTCTCCACTTCTCTCCTCTCCCCTGCTCTCTTCTCCTTTACTCTCCCCTCCCCTCCTCTCCTTTCCTCTCCTCTGCTCTTCTTTCCTTTCCTCTCTGTTCTGCTCTCCTTTCCTCTCTCCTCTCCCCTCTTTTCTCCTCTTCCTCTCCTCTCCTCTCTTCCCTCCTCTCCCTTCCCCTCCTTTATCTTCCTCTCCCCTCCTCTTCCTGCCTCTCCCTTCCTTTCCCCTCTCCTCTTTTCCATCTTCTCTTTCTTCTCTTGTTCTTGGTCCTGTTCTTTTGTTTTTCTTTCCACCCTTCCTCTTTGCACCAAGCTGGACAGAGGCCGGTGGAAGAATTTGAGCTGTGCCTTCCCGACGGGGATGTATCTATTCATGGTGCCGTTGGTGCTTCTGAACTTGCAAATACAGCCAAAGCAGGTGAGTGGGACCCAGAAGAGCCCTGCCCAAGAGGTGGGCTCAGAGTGGGGACATGGCAGTTTTCTCTGCCCAGTCCCCCAGCTTAGCAGGAACACAAGTTGCAGGCTTAATGGGATTCTGATACCATGACAGCGTCCCTGTTAGGGGGTGGGTTGGGGAGTGTCCGTGGCCAATCTTGTACTCCCTGAAATCTTGTAGATGTCCCATACATACTGAAGATGGAGTCTCACCCACATACCACCTGTTGGCCTGGGAGAACCCTCTACTTGCTAGCACCCAGCTTTCCTGACAAGCAGCGCTGGGTCACCGCCTTAGAATCTGTCGTCGCAGGTGGGAGAGTCTCTAGGGAAAAGGCAGAAGCTGATGCTGTGAGTATGACCATGACCATGGGTGTGGCACTTCTCTCTGTAGAGTGTGTAGTTGTGGGCACTGACTGTAATGGTGGGAATCCCACTGCCTGGCAGGGTTTCCCTTCTGCTCTGTCTGAGGGCTGATGGCTGCAGCTAAGGTCATGACTAGCTTTGTGGTGTTGAAGGTGAAAGCTGTAGGCGGCACCCCTGTGGCGTGTGCCTGGAATAGTCTTACAGCAGCCACAGCGTTTATACGGAAGACCTTCTGTTTACTCTGTGAGGTCCTTGAGTTATAAGCACTTTGCTCATGAACCACGAAGCAGACACAATTCTGCTGATGAGCACCTGCACTCTGGGAAGCTGTTCACGGCCTCTCTAGCTGCCTCTGTGGCAGCTGCTCTCCATAGGCAGGTCTGAAATTCCACTTATCCTTAAGATGTTGCAGACATTGGTGTGCCTTGATTGGCCAACATTCCTGGATGCAGACAGCGCTCATTGCTCATTGGTGTTTGCCTGGCTGAAGACCAAGCAGCACTTTTCAGACACTTAGCAGTGGGAACAGTCTTGACCGTGAACCTCCTGAAGAATTGTGTCTTGTTCCACACACAAGCCTCTTGCTGAAATGTACGTTAATGTGTATACAATAGGCACGTGACTGTACTTCCTGTGAGCATCAGCCAGTGTGGGTTGAGGTAAAGAGAACTAGAGGCTTGGCTTGCCACCGACACTTGTGCTTTGCGCTTTTGTTGCAGCTGAGGCGGGGCAGGGTCCTTCCTAACAGCCCGTTAACTCTTTGTAGCTTTGTCTTACTATTTCCTATCGCAGCTAGCTTTTCATACCTACGCCACCCACGTGTGTGTGTGTCCGCACACAGCTGTAACTCCGAAGCTAATTAAGGGCTGCCCTGGAAAAACCAATAACAGCCTCAAACAGCCTCAGGAGTTTCAGTTAAAGCATGGAACCAGAACCTGGGCTCATGGCCCAGCGTGTGTGAGGTTCTGGTCCAGTGTGTGCTTTTGAGCTGTGTTTCTGTCCCTCTGGATGGTTTGGTTAGAGATAGTTAGAACTCACTCTGTCTCCTCTTCTCTATTTTTCTTTCCTGTATGGAAAGAAATTACTTGGAAACTCCCTGCTGAAACTGGAAGGTGATGACCGGCTTGACATGAACTGTACCCTGCCCTTCAGTGACCAGGTATGTTGCCTGGGCACCGGGCACCATCAGCCAGGGACTGGCTGCAGATGCACACTGTCAGGATACTGGCTGTGTGGGGGCTGGTGGGAAGGGGGTGGCTTTGCTGCTGTTAAGTACCGGATTGCTGTGGTGATGTGGCTTTGTCTCTGCACTTCTGCCCTGGCAGGTGGTGCTGGTGGGCACTGAGGAAGGGCTCTACGCACTGAATGTCTTGAAAAACTCCTTAACCCACATCCCGGGAATCGGAGCGGTCTTCCAGATTTATATCATCAAGGACCTGGAGAAGCTGCTCATGATAGCAGGTGGGAGGCCTAGTGCACAGCCTCCATGCTGACTTTTACGGGCAGCCCCTGGAGAGCTGAGTTTGATGTGGTGATGAGCAGAGGCAATCTCCTGACAGCAGGTTGGAGCAGCAGTGTCCGTTTTCTGTGTGTCTCTGTTGATGGTGAGCCTCAGCGGGTGGGCCCTTTGCCTACATTTGACTTCCGGTCACCGTCCAGTTTAGCACAGTCCGACATGCTCAAGGAACGCTGTGCTGTTCTGCCTGGTGGAGAATGCCATCTTAGGTTCCATTGCTATAGTGAAAGACCTGAGACCAGGCTACTGCTGAAGAAAAGAGGCCTGTTTACCCCACAATTGGGGAGGTTCAGAAGCCCAAATGGCATCGTGCAGCCTTGGTGAAAACTTCTCCTTGGCTGTGTCACCACATATAGACAGCATGGCAGGAGCATGCTGGCAGTCAGATGATTAGAACCACACAAGGACAGTGACTGGCAAGCCTGCTTCTTTATAAAGTTTCTTGTGACCTAAGACCTCCCACTAGACCCTGGGCCCACCTCTTTATCCGTTCACTTTTATCTGTGCATGGCCTCAAGGGCTGATTAAAGTTAAACTTCATTTTTCTCTTTTAGATGAAGTCTCATGTAGCCCACTCTCACCTTGGCCTCCTGATCCGTCTCTCTCCCGAGTTGTAGGAAATCGGGGATATTCTATCATGCTGGGCTGCGGGCCCTTTGTTCTAGTTGCCTTGGCCCCAGCCTGGGCTGTGGCCTCCTGAGAGCTTGCCTTCTGCACGTGGTCATGATGTGATTACTACAAGATCCTTCCTCTGAATTCACACTCTGAAACATTTGGTTACATTTCTTTCCTCTCTACACATCCTTTCCTTTCCTTTCCTTTCCTTTCCTTTCCTTTCCTTTCCTTTCCTTTCCTTT